TATATGCATTGTTAAATTGAAACAATATATTTTTATTAACTCATGAACAAATCAATTAACCAGCAAAAATACAAGTGCCATTAATCTAAATCTTCTAAAAAGAAAATTTGATAGAAATTGATTTATATAAAATTAAAAGAATGAATGTGGTGCATAGAAATATACACATTTTTTCTTAAGATTTTATTTAATAAAAATAGACTGATATTATACGAGATATAATACTCTGTTAGTAATAATTATTAAAGTATTATATCTTAAGAATGATAATATTTGATAATATCATAAAATACATGTTCTTTATGCATAGACAATATTAATGTACATGATCAAATTTATTTACTATCATAATATAGAGAATAATCAAAGTGATTATTAATTAATATAAGATTGTCATAATGAATCCGTTATTCAAGATCCTCTTTTTAAACTGTTGGGGCAATATTTATTTGATCATTGGAATATGCATGGGTTTAAGTCTTAGTTTGTTTTTGGTACCGGTTAATGATTTTGAAAATGAAGAAAAAATGGAATATGTATCTCAATTATCACATACACATGAGGCTAGTGATGAATATGAACCTAAAGTAAACATAGCTAATAAGCCGTTGCAAGCACGAAAGATACCAAAAATGTTTACACGTCCAAGATATTACTCTACAGAACTTGGAATTAGAGAAAAGCTCTTTGTAGGAATAATAACTAGCCGAATGTATTTGCACAGTAGAGATATTGCAATAAATAAGACAATTGCACATTTAGTTGACAAAGTGCGTTATTTTATCTCAATACCAGAAGGTGTTAAACCTAATGTATCTCTTCCTGGTATAGTAGGCTTTACAGATACCAGAAGTATTTTAAAACCATTTCATGTTATGAAATACATTACTGACAATTATTTAGAAGACTATGACTATTATTTTTTAATAAAAGATGTCAGTTATATTAATGCTAGAAAATTGGTTGACTTCGTATCTAAAATTAGCGTGAGTCAAAATGTTCATGTGGGTATACCAATCGATACACAAGCCTATTGTTCTTTAGGTAAAGTATAAAGTTTATTCTTTATATAATAAAATATAATATACACACACACACACATATATCTAAATGAGATTATTATTATTTCCAGATTCTGGTATTCTTTTAAGTAACTCTATAATTCAAGAAATTAAAACTAATTTAGATTGGTGTGTACAAAACACATACTCAGATATAGATGATATTAATTTTGGACGTTGCATTGTGCATTCTTCGTCGCTTTCTTGTACAAGCCTAATGCAAGGACAAAAATTCTTATCAACGAAGTTAAATTCTACATTTAATTTTGAACAGGAGTTATCAAAATTACTTTTGCAAGAAAATTTTTTAAATTCATTTACTATTTATCCTATTTATGATCATCTCAATTTCTACCGTTTTCACATGTACATAACGGCGGTAAGAATACCATTAATAAATTAACACGTTATATACATAAATTAATTTTTGGAACAAATATATGAAAAAGGGAGACACTTTGTTTCAGATGAAATCTATTGATGGTCAGCGAAAAATCTCTGATTTACGTAATGCTATTTTACAAACTAAGCATTTAACACCACAGCATGAACATAATATATCATGGCCTATTGGTAATCAACCAGGAAATAAGCCTTTAACACGTTTCGATGTTTTACACTGGGTATACTTTAATGAAACGCATACTTTTTTTGAGACTGACTTTTTAAATATACAAAAGTTAAAAGCAGATGCTAAATTTGATATAGATCATATAATAAATACAATTACTAGTAAAATAATTATGGAAAATAATCAAAGGCTAGTGTTCGAAAAATTGATAAATGGCTATAAAAGATTTGATGCGTCTAGAGGAATGGATTATATTTTTGATCTTTCTTTTATTGAAGTAGCTACTGAGAAAAAAGTATATAAGAGAGTAGAAGTATGCAAAACATTAGGAAAAGTTGAAGTTATATCAGTTCCATATGTAACAGAAAATACAAGAATTAATATGATATTAATTGTTAATATAAACAACAAAGAGGATGCATTGAGTTTTCTAGAATATTATGAAGAGAGTTGCATGCAAAAGAAATATAAGACTTTTCTTATGCTTGTAAGTATTATTAGAATATTTGTTAATGACTTTTTAAAGAGTTAATAGATAAATAAGTTTACAAATTTTGCAGGTTCTTTTATACAACGTTGAATCACCGTCAAAAGGGCAAGCAGATATATTTCATGGTATTAAAAAATATGCTTTAATGCTTTCAGAGAAATATAAAAAGGACCAGTCAAAGGTTACATGGCATTCAGTTCGTTTACCAATCGTTATAAATGATATTGAAATAGATCCAATGCTTAAAATTGCTGTCACAGATTTATGCATTAAAAAGTTTTCACCTGAGAGTTTAATTCTCTTTGTTGAAACTGGTATAGATCTGAAATTAGATTATTTAAATAGGGTATGTAAAAACAAGACAGAATGATATAATAATTATGTAAATATTAAATTTTCATATATTTATGTTGTAGATTCGTATGAATACTATAAATCAATATCAAATATTTAGTCCAATTCCATTTGTTGCTTATCATCCTGATATAACATATACTGATGCTAATAAACACTCTGAAGTGGATATTAATCATAATTATGGAAGATATGATGAATATAATTATAATAACATTGCATTTTATGTTAAAGATTACACTGCAAGTATGTTATAAAATGTGTGTACAGGTTGAAAAGTTTTGTGAGCCTAGCGTAAAAATAATTATTTTTTCTTTCAAGCTCATTTTTATTTTTCTTCACAGTCTCAAAACTTTTTAACCCACTCTTGTATCTCTTTTAGTATGAGCTCTTTAAAATAAATATAATTATTATATATATTATATATATTATATTCTGTTATGTTTCAGTGAGAAAAGCTGTTGAAACGAGTATTCCATTAGCTCGTTCTGATAAAGATATTGTTACTATTTTAGAGTTTTCAAGGCATAATCCAATTACTTCTATATTTGACATGTTTGTGTCTTTTACTGACATACATATACTACGTGCAGTAGAACCAGCATTGAAAATCAAATATAAAGATATACGATGTAATAGTACTTTCAATCATGATACTTACACAACATGTGTTAAGCAAAAGAATATTCATTTAGGTCAGCGCAGTCAACTTGCTAAACTTATATTGGATTACAAAAAAGATCGAAATTAATTTTGTTATCATATTTAATTGTTATCACAACTGTATTTTGTGAATGAATATATTATATCGACATAATAAATATATTAATAAGATCTTAGTTACTTTTAGCTGATTTTCATGGTTCTATTGCTTTTATCTTTATACTACTCAATGTTATTGTTTGTATAGGTAAAGATTGATGTATAAAAATCTTTTCTAAAATTTTTCTTGAATTTAAAACATACAGTTTTAAAAATGTATAAGGTTTAAAATATTATGTATAAAATATGTATTACACTTGAAATAAGATAGAGTAATTAACTTGATATATGACACATGTTGATATTGCCAAAGTTAGAACTATACAATGAATATTATATATATTAATTATATTTTTATTTAAAAGAATGTATTTTTTATATAAAGTTTTATTCAGAATAAATGAAATTACATAATAATAGTTATGCTGTGTATAATTGTACACTTACATATTTTTTAATATTTGAAGAGATTAAGATTAATATTACAAATTGTATTTTTTGTGCATATATGCAACTAACGCAGTCACTCATACATGTAACACACATGCACACATTTACTCAGATTGTACATATAAATTTTAAAGCCAGTTTCACCCTTGATTGTTAAATGTGTCCCTCATCACAGTCGCTGATGTAACTCAACATATATAATACGATCTTATTTAATTTCCTTTTATTTATAACATCGCATTAATTCGTAGAGTCTTAATACTTACCGCGTTCTTCAAAGAAACATATCCGTGCATCTTAGTTCAATCTACTTCAATAAATTTAAATTGAAAGTTTATTGGAACTAAATTATACCCGGAACACGATAATGCATGTCTTTCCTTAAAACTTTTAGATAATATAAGAGTATATACATAAAATAAAAAAAATAAAAATTATATATGATAATAATAATAATAATAATAATAATAATAATAATAATAATAATAATAATAATAATAATAATAATAATAATAATAATCTAATAAAGCGTCGCTTATGTGGTATTTATCGAGTATTTCTAAAAAGATTACTAATTTTATTACAGTAACTAAATTACAATCGTAATAACCATTTATATTGCGTCGCAAATTTGTCTAAAAATCATATATTCTAATTAATATAGGATTCCCTTACATAGAATATATTATTGTAATATAGAGAATAATACAAAGATATTAAAATAATGTATACTAATGTTGAATAATAACGCTTCATCATTTTTAACTGTAAAGTCAAACTTACTAGTTCTATATTAAGGCAGTAATTATTTTTGGAACTGAATTTGTGCATGCGCTTGTACGAGTTCAGGTGTACCTAATGATGATTAATTATAAATGATATATTGATATGTGATAATAATGATAATCTTGTTATAAATTCGTTTGTTTTAACGGAAAATAACAAAATATTTTTAAATGTTATAAATGTAATTTTAACGAAATTGTTATTTACAAATTAGTTGAATTTACTTATAGCTGCAACAAGCACGTTTGCGTAGATTTTTAAATGTTTTATATTACACAATTATTTTTATGAAAATTAATTATGATGATTTTGTTTAGTGTTTTTATGCTATTATTAGGTACACCTTCTTAGTACAAGATATGTTAAATGTTTGTACCGTTTATTTGTACAAAGGTGGTTCAAGCAATCATAATGGAATTAAATAATATGTACTTTCAATTGAGATAAGGTAACAGAAAGTGATCATTTTTTAACGATTTTCCCACGAGACCTTCACTCTACAACATTCTTTTATTACTTTATATATTCTTTTGATATGTTTCATTTATTTTTACAATTATGCTCGATTACATATTAGAACAAATGATTTCAAAAAATTGTTCTCACTGAGAAATGATATAAAATTTAATATATATAAATATATTTCTATATGTCATATTATAAAATCATATTAGAAAGTAATATAGAAATAATATTTTAATACTTAGTTGTTTTTTCACATTTCTCATTCTTACTAATAATTAATTTACTATTGTAATTATGAACCACCAATGTACCAAATCTCTCCATTTTACATAAGTGGAGTGTTTACAAATTCTATCTCAAATATATTCATAATTTACTCTTACTTGCTATTTTAAAATGTTATACAAAATCACAGTAATATACATCTATATATATATACATATAACAATATAATGTTGCCCGAGCACCAAATTAATTTAATTAGGTTTGTGAGTCTCTGCAATCTTAAGTGAATTTTAACATTTATATTATGTAACAGAATAGAAACAAAATTAAAACAAATATACAAATAACATTAAAATTAATAATTAATAAAATCTTGATACTTGATTTGCAAAATTACATTAAAAATACAGAAGTTTATTAAAGTAAAAATGGAAGAAATATTTTCTACCATAGATATATATTGAATTATTAATGCAAATCATAACATAAGCTTGACTTCTCACATAAAATTAATTTTTACGATGTATGTGTAATTAAAAAAAAAAACAGTTCGAACCAATAAATAAATATTTCATTAAAAAAATTTACATATGTTTCATAATTATTGATTGCAGATTAGAAAAAATTGCAGCAGATTTAGACATTTTAACAATCAAGGGTTCTGCTCCTTTAATTCATAAAATGTTCAATGATGCGTGTCAGACCATTATATAAGCAATATTGTTTCACAAATTGTAATGACGTGAGTAAGCATCCTTGTAATATACTATACTATGTATTAAATATGTTGTTCTTTTTCAAGGTATATAGAAAAACTGATTTTTTTTTTCAAGGTTAATTATGATATTCTATAAAGGAAGCTGCAAAAATTTATGTAAAGTGAATATACTCTAGGATTTTACATTTTATTCTTTCGTTGATCTGTTGAGTGAAAAAAATTAATTTTAGCAAATAGTTTAAAGGAGACAACATCGATGCCTCCTGCGTCCAGAATTACCAACTCTCATACGTTTTCTTTTTTCTTTACCTCTGTGTTCTTTATCTTTTCGTATTTCTCTTACCTAAAATGTATCAATGATCTTCATAAATACGTACTATTTTAATATATACAATTATGAATTTATGATACATTGATAGCAAGCAATATCATATTCCAATATTTTCAATATTTATAATAATTAACTCACCAGAGTATAAAAAGCATCATCTACACCCATTCTAGTTTTTGCAGATGTTTCAACAAATGGTACTCCATATTGGCGTGCAACTTCTCTTGCTTGTGTCATATTTACTGCCCAAGATTGTTGAAGATCGCACTTATTTCCAACTAATACCATTGGTACTTCTTCTGCATCTTTTACTCTTTTTATTTGTTCTCTATACGTACCTATATCCTTTAAGGATAAAAATAACATATGACTAACATTTGTACGTCATGTCATGATTAATATCTTATATTATTATTTTCGTCTTTATACATAGAATACAATGTAGAGGAGTACATACTTCAAAGCTTTTAGCAGAATTAACAGCAAATACTAATAAAAACCCTTCACCAGTCCTCATATATTGATCTCTCATTGCACTATATTCTTCTTGACCAGCTGTGTCTAATATATCTAAAAGGCACGTTTCTCCATCAATAACAACCTGTTTAACAAAATATTTATCATTAATAAAACAGCTTTTGAACTACATTAATAGTTGACCATGTAAGTAAATCGTAGTGTTTTATTAACGAGTTAACTTAAACTTACTTGTTTCCTATAAGAATCTTCTATGGTGGGGTCATACTCATCTACAAAGTGATTTTGTATAAGTTGAATAGTTAGTGCGGATTTTCCAACGCCACCAGCTCCTACCACTACGAGCTTATATTCCGTCATAATACCAGTTCTTGTTTTAACATAAACTGGTACATCCAATAGAAAACTTTAGTTACTTCTTAAAATATCTATAAATTATATAAATAATATGTAAATATTATTTTCTATAAATTATAAGTATATAAATATATATAATTTTCATTTAATTCTTATACGAAATTTTTACTTCCTTTATATGTTTAACATTTATAAGTTTAATTAATTTATTATTAAAATTAAATATATATTGAATTAATGTAAAATAAATATTCTATAGTACGTAAAATGATTTATTTCTTATTAATATTCTTAGAGTTGGGTATGATAGTAAATAATAAATAATATAGTTTTTTAAATGGGAGGATATAAACAAATGATTAAATAGACAAAAGCTAAGATACATATATATGTGTATTATTATATGTATATATAAAGCGCCAAAAAAGCCTATAATAAGGAACTAACGCAATGAAAGAATAATTTACTGAAATAATACAATTTATTAACCAATAGTAATTTAAAGCAGTCAGGGTGCGATAAGCAGATACGAGAGAAGAAAAAAAGAAGTAAAATTGCTATGTAAAATATTTTTTTTTATTTCATGTACACTCACCAAATTTATGAAATTTAATCCTAACACTGATTAAATGGTCACTTTCTAGATTTATACGTTAATTATTGATCATTTATTGTTATTTATCATGGGCAAGTACCATACACCCATTAAACAGAGTAAGATGCCATAAGATGTTATGCAGCCACGCCAACGTACTTAACTATTCGCAGAGGAAAGACCAGATATATTGTTACGTCCCGGCAGATCATGGCTTCGAAATCAGTGTGTAAGAAAATAGAGTTCTCTATCGGTAAAATCGATCTCTCTCTTAGCTGAATGTCAAATAAACGATTTTACCTTGGGATCGTCTTCTTTCTAAGATATTAATTATACCGTATACACTCTGTTTATTCTTCACTTTTTCTATGATTTAAATTTATTCTTATATTTATATACACACACACACAAAACAATGTAATCAATCAATTAACAATTTTAACTTTTAACTTTAAATAACATTTTCATTTATCATTATTATTTCATAGATTTTATTTAAAAAAATATACATATATATATATATATATATATATATGTATGTCTCAATTAATATTAATTTTTATTTTTATATATTGGAACGACGTGATAAATAAATCGATATACTTTTTTACGAGATTTAAATTCTAATGATTTAGAATTTATATTATAGGTTTTTACAAAGAGTTAAATAGGTAGATAATTAATATTCGTATTTTGTATAAAACAATTTATTCTTATTTTCATATAAACAAAAATTAAGAATAGTATTTAACCTAAAGCACAGTCAGACGCTCTGAAATGGAAAAAGCATTTATGTCTTGTATCAATATTTTTAAGTATGGAAAGAAATAAGGACAAGTTTCTTTCACTTTTGACGTTTTTATACAATCG